TATTGTTGCGTCAGAGATCACGTGACCAGTGTCACGCCACCTATTTTCCAGAAGTATCCTGTTCCTTCGTGAATGCCCTACCGTTTACTAGATATATGTTAGTCTGGTATATATATATAAGACGCTCACAACGTGTGTAGGTAGTGAGTAATTGAACTGCAGTCAGAGAGGATTGTTGAAGTTAACGCGTTTGTTTTAGCGCGATTGTTGAAATTAAGTGTATCGTAAAGTTATATTCAGGAAGAATAAACCAGTTTTACTTAAGAAAAGACTTGTGTCGCTAAAGTTTCGTGGGAACGAAGTTACGAAAAATTAATTAACAAACGGAGACGTAACAATATCATTGAATATTGTGGCTTTGGGTTTGGTTTGTTATGAATTTCGCGTAAAGCTACACGAGGGCTATCTGAACTAGCCGTCTCTAAATTAGCGGCGAAAGACTAGAGGTGGCTTTAGGAAAATGTCTGACAACTAACAATTTTAAAGTTGTTTATAAATATCCCAACGCCGTTAAAACGTTCTGTCCTTTAAACATGTCTGCTTCTCACGATAAAGAAAAAGATGTCTATCTTCCAATCTTGTGAAGGAGTTTATGTTGGTGAAATGGGTAGAAATTTTGATAAAAGGCTCGAAGAACATAAAATGGATGAAATAATGCTTGCTTGATCATAAAATCAACTGGAAGTCAGCCAAAATAATACATGAAACAAGAAATTATGTCAAAAAAGAACCGTATAAATCTCGTTACTCCAGAGGATGCCAAACTTTAACACCTCTGAAGGTTATTTTAAACTTAACTTCCTTCATATAGTTTGAAACTAGCGTATAAAATGAACAAGGTGTGTTTCTCTCACTAACAAACGTTTGGTTTGTTTCATGTTAAACACAACTCTACACAACGAGCTATTTGTGCACATCCCATCACGGGTGTCTAACAAATGTTCGACTGAAAAAATACAATGAAAGTTTAAAACTTGTACATTCGTATAAATTCTGTTGTTGTTTCGTAACAATAGTGGATTTAAACTTTATTCTGTTGTTGTTTCGTAACAATAGTGGATTTAAACTTTATTCTATTGTTGTTTCGTAACAATAGTGGATTTAAACTTTATTCTGTTGTTGTTCCGTAACAATAGTGGATTTAAACTTTATTCTGTTGTTGTTCCGTAACAATAGTGGATTTAAACTTTATTCTGTTGTTGTTCCGTAACAATAGTAGATTTAAACTTTATTCTATTGTTGTTCCGTAACAATAGTGGATTTAAACTTTATTCTATTGTTGTTCCGTAACAATAGTGGATTTAAACTTTATTATATTGTTGTTCCGTAACAATAGTGGATTTAAACTTTATTCTATTGTTGTTCCGTAACAATAGTAGATTTAAACTTTATTCTGTTGTTGTTTCGTAACAATAGTAGATTTAAACTTTATTCTATTGTTGTTCCGTAACAATAGTGGATTTAAACTTTATTTTGTTATGGATGGAGATTATGCTTTCACCCGCGTGTGTTTGTCAGCAAGGTTTCTCTAAAAATGGCTGAATGAATTTGGACGAAAATTGGTATACATTCGGACTAGGGCTCAACTTAGAAGTGATTAGTTTTTTGGAGAGTCAAGGTCACGAAAATAAAAAAAAATCCAATCTGTTAGCATGGGGACCGATTTTTCACACTATTTTTGCTCGATAAATCAGTCAAAAATAATAGGATTTTGATGAAACTTGGTGGACATGTGTACAATATTATTCCTCATTGTCCTGCCAAAAATGGTTCGCGTCCGTTGATAACCACAAATATACGGACACTACAGACATACCACTATAACAGATCTTAACATTTTGCCTGTTCTTCAGAAAGATACTTGATTGGATAACTAAGACTTCTTCATTATGTACAGTTTCAACCGTGTGATGTTATTTTGGTCACTTGAGGAAGTCATGACCTCTCGTTTGTCCTCAGAAGCGTTGATTCACAAAGGTGAAATTAAAGAATGGTTAGTGCATATTATTTATTAATAAGCTAGATATACTTCAACAGGCGAAAGTTCTCTTGATGTCTGTATAAAATTACGTTTGGATTTGGTACAAAATACCGGAATATTCTAAATCACTCATGTCTCACCTGCTTTACTATAATATATACTAACAGCGTGAACACAGAAACTTGTTATTTTCTTTATTTTTGGTAGGTCTAGGCCCAACACTTAGAAAAAATACACTACTTTTTTAGTGAATTCCATCTTTTGTTCGGTTTATTTTTAATAATATTATTTTAATAAATATTGGAATTTTAATACATATTTTAAGTTTTGTATGTTATTTTGTTGTTTGAATCTAGCCTATCCATAGGCCTAACTGGTTCTTGTAATAACTTAGACGTCAGTTAATTGTTATTGCAATATAAAAAGAAAACGAAAAAGGGAGTTTTCGAAACTAAGGTAGGATTTTTTATTCCTTCTTGTACTGTAATAGTACCGTCAAAATATAATATCACATTTGAATATAACTTTTTAGAGGCCTAATTCTATGTCAGACTACGGAGTTTAGGCAACAAACGTTTTAACGTCAGTAAAAAATAAGTTTAAGCTTAGGCCTACCTAACACTTAAATGCTATTAATAACACAATCTTATTTGACGAAACTTACCATGTAACCAAACACGTCAACAGGTTTATCTATAAAAACTGTATTTAATAACGTTTGTAAAACTTGAACAACATTATTATTCTTGTAATATTCTAACGCTTGTTTCTTTAATTCGTCATTCATTTCTCTGATACTAGTCATTGTTTTAAATTTAATTCAAACTTTATATAACGGACTTAATTAGGCCTAGCAACATATATTAAAAGTTTGGCTTCCATTTCGTCAGTTGTAACTTTTCACAATTTCTCTAACAGTACTAAAAAGTATTTCCCTTTTTCGACGCTACATAGGCTAAAATTCCTAAAATAATAATTTACGTTAATTTGCCATTATCTCATAGGAAGACGAAATAGGAAGTGAAATGTTTATATTTTTCGATATGTGTACAATATAATTAATCTTGTTATACTAAAATATAGAGAATAACTGCGTCTCTTCTATAAGAAATTTTATCCCATATTAAAGCTACAGGTACAAGCCTAGAAGATTTTTTAAATTCCTTCTGTTTTATAATGCCAGACGCTTAATTTATGTAATGGTCAATGAACTTAAAAGGTTAAAAGAAACTTCAAGAATGAATCTCAAAACTTTTCCCATACTGCTTCAAATAAATATATACGGAAATTATCAAAACACTGTTTCAGCATTCAATCCAATACTGCATTTATAAAAGGATTTCATTTTTATAAACACTGTCAAATATTGTAATAATGATACATGGTTTTGGCATTATATGTACATTATTTTTTTTTGTGTGGCCATGAAATTTAAAATGTTAGAAGAAATTATGTTTTTAAATAACCCTGCATTTATTAAAATAATAATTAAAGTTTGAAAATTTAACTGTCTTTATTTTTTAAATAATTAATTTATACATTTTTTGTGGATTATATGGTGCTACTTTACTGTATATATATATATATATAT